GCCCCCGCCAGGGCCCCCCGACCCAGCTCGAGCGACGACGTCCCAGCGCCCAGAGATAACGCGCCCCCCGTGCGGGAGACGGGCCCCCCGGCCCCTAAGGGCACGGGCGCCTTCCCTCCCGGCGCTCTGCCCCAGACCCCCATGCCGGGGCGGGCTGCGACCTCCCTGGGCGACTTCGACGACGACGGCCCAGTTGACTTCGCGCAGTTCGTCAGGGCCAACTACGCCCGGCAGTCACTCGGCGGTGGATCAATCATTGCGCGCAACGCCTAAGCGAGGGCAGCAGGGCGCCAGCCGACCAGAACCGGGCCTTCCTGGACGCTTTTCTTCGAGCCCTACGGGGGGGCGGCCAGTTTGCGGGCCAGGGAACTGACGGCTGGTCCTGGCAGGGGGCCCGCCGCCAGTTCATGCTCGGCAGCGGGCGAGCGCCCCTCTCGGCGGGCCGACTGCGCGCCTGCCCTCCCGAGGCGCCCTGCCCAACTAATGCGGGCAGATGCCCGGTTGAGGTTCGTGCGCAGGCTAGGGGGGGATGCGTTCGCGCAGTGCCTCATGCTGCAGGCTGGCGCCGCATGGTCTGCCCGCTCCCTGCCGCGCCGGAAAGGAGTCGCCATCTCCCCCCTGGCCGACGCCGTCGACGCCAGAGACGAATTCGTGGATCGAAACGTGGCCGCCTTGCGCCCCCCCGAGCCGGCCAAACCGGTCCCGGAGAAGGGCGAGGAAGACTGCGCCAGTGTCCGCGCCATGGTACAGCTCGCCCGGACGCTGCGCGACAACGTTGACGGCCTGGCGACGCTGGGCAGAGGGCGACGGCAGTGACAGAGCCCCGATGGGGCCCCGTGACGCCCCCGCGGCCCAAGGATCCAGGCGACGGATTAAACAGGGGACGCCCCTGAGGCGGGAGACGCGCCGCCCTGGCACGCGTGGTCGCCCACCTCATCAGGCAGAAGGGGCGCGCTCTCAACCGGGAGGACAACCTCGCCTAGCAATGGCCCTCCTACAAGGGGCCCCGACCGCCGCTGGCTGCCCGCGAGCCAGGGCAAGAATCCGAACAGGTGCAGTCAGCGGCGCCGCGCGAGATTCCTCGCTATGCAGGGGGCGCATAGCCTATCGTCGCCAGAGCCGTTCTACTACCTGCCTGGCGCAGACAACCTGGGCGGGGCGGGCCCGAGCGCCGTCGCGAAGACGACCCCCGACAAGACGGCGCCGGGCGCCCAGGCTGAGCGCCCGATCCCATAGGGCATCGCGCGCTGCCGCAGGGCGGCGCCGCCGCGGCCACTGCCCTTCCCCGGGCAGAGGCCTCGGGGCGCACCCTGGCTTAAGAGCGCGCGACAGCGCGACCGAGGTCCCGCCTGCCGCTGGTTGGATGCGCGCCCCGCCAGCTCTGCGCCCCCCGACGCAGAGCCGCCCGCCCCCCCCCCCCCTCTTCCTGCCTAGGAGGCTCGTGCAGACGCCCCGTCGCCCCCGGGTCAGATGGCCCCCGCCAGATGCGGCTGTCGATGATTCGCCGGGCGCTGACGCGCCGGGTCAAGACCCCCAGGCGCGCCCCAGCGCGGGGCCCCACGCGGCCGACCGCGCCCGTGCAGCGTCCAGCGGCGCTCGCCCAGGAGACGCAGCGCGGCAGGCCGCCCAGCCCGCGCGACGCGAGCAGGCCGCGGTGCCCATCGACACAGCCGGGGCGGACGCAGGTGGGCCTTTCCCCGGCGACCGCCGCGCTAGTGGCAGCGACTGAGCGCGCCGCGACAACCGAGCCCAGAGACAGACGAGCACGGACGTCCCCCAGGGCGGGCGAGCGAGAATGCAGCGGCCAACTGCGCTGCGCCAGGTCAGGGCGCAGCGGCCCCTGGGCCAACTACCAACAAGAGCCAGGGGCCTCCTCCTCGACCGCCGGCCTGCCCCGCGCTGGCCCGGAGGCGCGCGAGCTGCGCGGGGCTCCGCGGGCCGATCGAGACTGCGCCCGCGACGGCGACCACGGCGGCGCGCTATGCATTCGGCACCGACGGATGATTACCTGGCAGCGGGCGTGGAACATCAACGCCAAAGCCAGGGGAACTCGCCCAGACGTCGTCAGCGGGCTGATAAAGCGGGAGCGCGGCGCGCTTTCTGTCGAAGGATGGAACGCGTTTCGGAGCCCTTGACGACCAGGGGCCGGCGAGAGGCACCTGCGACCCGGGGGGGGCGGCGACTTCTGCAAGAAGTTCGCGGTGCAGATCGCGGGGTGTCCAGATGGGCTGGGGGGCAGTCCGGGGGCGCCGGCTCTGGCTTGCTCGGCGCGACGAGGGCCGGGGCAGGGGGGAGGCCGCGACCCATCCTGGAAACGTAAGAGACACGCCGACCCCACCTGGCCCAACAAAACGATCAGTCGAGGCCGCGCCGTCTCGACCCGTCAGGCCCGCCCCGCTTCTGGGGCCCTCGACATGCGGCCGCGCCATGCAGCGGCCAGCGCCGTGCGCCGAGCGCCGGGCCTCCTCGCGCTGCTGCGCTGGTTTGGGCCCGCAGACCTGCCGCGTGCTGTCCGCCCAGAGCGGGGGTCGCTCAATTGCTTCTGCCGCAGTCCGCTCTCGCAGGTTACTGCGCCAGTTAGGCGCCCCTAGACCCGCCATGTACTCTCCGCCCAAACGGCGCGTGGCGTTCACGCCTTCGGCTGCGGCCCGTCACGCAGGATACTGCGCGGGCTATGTGCCCCTAGACCAGCCGCGTGCTGTCCGTCCAGACAGCGCGTGGTTTTCCGCGGCTTCTGCCGTGGTCCTCTCAAACATGTTCCTGCGCCAGTCTGGTGCTCCCAGACCGGCCGCGTACTGTCCGCCCAGACGGCGCGTGGCCCCGCGGCTTCAGCCACATTTTTGAAGCACTGATGGCCGCCTTCTTCGGCCGGGCCGCAGTTTTGACGCCCGCACCGCTCTGGCCTGGCCGCAGTGTGGTCGTTGGCGCGGCGCGGCGTGGTTGTCCGCAGCATCGCCGCAACATGGGCCGCCCGTCCGGCAGCTCACGCCGGTGCCGCGTCGCCCGGACTGACACCCCGCCGGTAGTGACCCCGCTACAGGTGGGGCGCTCCTCTTCCCTCCCCCCCCCTTTCCTCCCTTCGCCTTTTCCCTCCCTCTCTTCGCCTTTTCCCTAAATTTCTTCGCGCGCCGCCATGGCGGCCACGCTGCAGCCGCAGCTGGCAGCTACCCCCTTGGTGTCGGTGCCGCCGGGCCTGGTCTTGCCGCCCTGCACCTCGCCCTGCGGGCTCAGCGTTTTGCTGGTGGCAATCTGAAACCCAGATTGCCCGTTTACTTGCCGTACCTCGTCGACCCACCTGGCCGTGCCTCGCTGCGTTTTTTTCCCGACTTACAGTACCTAGTCAGCCGTCTCTGACGGCGTCGCCGCAGGTGCCTTTTGATCCCGCGTGCTGGGCCTCGTCATCGCCCGTGGATGCCCCGGCGCCGCGGCCGGGTCGCTGCCGCGGTCCCCGCCGCCGAGGCTGGCCGCGCCAGCGCATTCGGGTCGGAAGCTTTCCGTTTCTGAGTGCCCCCTCTTCTTCCCTCGTCCTCCGCGGCCGTCCGTCTGTCTCTGTCGTGTCCATTTCGCGCTGGACAGTTCGGTCTTCGGTAGCCCCGTTTAGCCCGATTTGCGATGCAGCAGTTCTGCCTCGCCGCCGACGGGTAAAGTGGTGTATGTGTGTTTCAGTGTGTGTGTGTGTGTATGTGTATCGTGAGGGCTGCGACCCTGTATGACAGGACCGTGCCGCTTCAAAGGGGTATTGCTAATCTAGTATACATTGTTGTGAATTTCACGAAGGGACGCGGCCGTTGGCGTGGGAACCCTTTTGCAAGCTGCAGCGGGCCCCTCGAGACCACGACTTGCCAAGCGCCCCCATGGTGTTCCGAATAATCCGTTTTGGTGGGCAAGCGCGGGCTTCGCAGCTTGGCAGCGGGATGGGGCCATCACGTATTCTTCTCGTATCCGAATGCGGCAGAACTCGCAGGGGTCCTCCGTGGCGGTGCGCGGTGTGCGGGGTACCGCAGGGTGGCGGCTGATGTGTCCCGTCGCTATGGCTGGTGCCCCCAGTTCTGAAAGCGGCCCGTCGCGGATCAGGGGTCGTATGCGCCGTGGTCATCCGCTGGAGTTTCGTGCGGCCGTTTGCGCGACGGCTTCGCCCATCGTTTTCCTCTCTGTCACGTGCCACGCCGTAATTATATGCGTTCCCCTCCCTGTTCTCCTCCTCGTCCTTCGTCTCGTCCCGTGCCCCTTCTACGCCCCCTCACCCTTCCACCTCTGCCTCTACTATCTTTCCCGCGTCCCTGTCTGTCCCTTGTCCAGTCGGACATGCTCCACTTTCCCAACTGAGTCTGGCGTGGCTCGGATACGTTGAACGTGGTTGATGCATTCGATGTTGAGTTCGCAGGTTAGCTTTGCCCAGTCTTGTTTGTTTCAGTCCTCAGCCCTGTATTGAACTCACGATGTGTGGTCTTTGCGACGCTCCTGCGACGTCTTGGCGATGAGCGTGCGCCCGTGGCCGAGCAGTGCACGCGCGGTGATCGTGCGTTACTTCCTTCACCCCCGACGGTTGTGGGAGACCACGTCGAATGAGCAATGATGCGTTTCCGCCGTGCTGCACAAGTGCCGTGCGCCCCCCAGGAAAAAACTCAATCGTTCTGAAGCGAGCTGGTCACCTCGTGAAGAAATGCACGTGCCGTCGCCCGAAGGCGACGCCTTTTCCGGATCTTTTAAGCGCCCAGGTCCGGAGGTCTTCGGCGAAGGACACCCTGCTGTTTTTCCCAGGTGGCGGGGCCAAGGGGCCGATACTCATTCGAAACTTCGCCAACATTTCGGGCAGACATTGTTTCGACACCTTCGGTGCGCGAAATCATTTCGGACATGTCCTCTTTAAGTCGGATGAGAACAACAGTTCTCGCTCCGTCGTCATCCCTCTGCTTGTCTTTCTTCTCCTCCTCCTC